TTCTATCTAGATGGTACTCTTCAGCTGTGTCCAGTTTCCATTGTCAATACATCCAGGTCAGAACATTTAAGGATCACAGATTTAGAGCTAGAGGAGGCCTCAGAAGCCATAAATTCTAGTCCACCCTTTTCATTTTACCATTGAGGAAATTGAGACCTGTAGAGATTAGGACTTAGTGAAAGTCACAGTTAGGAAGCCTCAGAAATGGGATTTGAACCTGCTGTGAACTCCAGAACCAGGGCTCTTTCTATTATACCACACTATGCTTTCCTGATTCCCTCTTCCCAATGATCACTACAGTATTCAGTCTTCATTCGGTAGTTATACATAGTTGCTGTTTGCTTATATGCTGCTTGATATGCTCACCATCTTGTTTATGAAGTGAATATGTGTGTGTGTGTGTGTGTGTGTATACACATATATGTGTATATATATATACACACATATATATGTGTGTGTATATATATACACACATATGTGTGTGTGTATGTATATACACACACACACACACACACACACACACATATATACACCAACTAGTTGTAAACTTCCTGAAGGTAGGACTCCTGTCATTTGCTTCTTTTGGAATCCCCGATAGCACCTTATGTAATGTTGTATACATAGCAAACAATCAGTGAATAATGAATAAGCAAAGGTTTCCCCATCTGTAATTTGGGCACCCAGGAATGGTACTGGGCCTCAGAGACTGCAAAATAGCACTTTACCTATGTACATTATACAATCCCACATAAAATATTTGAGATATAAAATTAGGATACATAGCCAACTCCCAATTAAATTGATATGTGGATCACCCATAGAGAAATTTTAATCCCAGGCTAGGTTTCTCCTAACAAAGTCGTGTACACTCAAGAATTACTAGGCTCATTATAATGACACAAAACATGACTAGTAAGGTAAAACTGATTATCAAATCACATAATGCATTTCAAAGCCAAACAGAAATGATCTTTGGATTATCTGGTGTTTTAGATTATCTGCACCACTGGCCCACTTCATTAATGAAAATAATTGGGAATTGACTGCATATATACATGCATAAAGTACTCTGACAGAGAAGCTATACTGATAGATGAAATTATTATTACTTGCAATTTATTATCAAAATGATGTAAAGCACACAAACTATTGGGTCACCCTGATCTGTAATTTACTCTGAGCCCCCTCAGAGCTCTTCTGAGCCCCATGGCACATCCTGATTGATAAGAATTGCTTTGCTCAGCATACCTCAGAAATGGCTGGATGCCCTACCATGGAGAGGAGAAGGAAGATGATGGTGTGCCCCACTGGGGCTATGGCTACAAGGCCAAAGTGAAAGGAAAGAGCTGAGCCCCTTAATTTGGATAATTAACTTAGAAAAAATGATTCTTTAGCCACTGCAACTTTCAAAATGTTGCTTCTTGCTGCCACCCGCAACCTTCACAGTCTCAAAACATACAACTCAGAGGAGAAACAACCACAAAGATGCTGAACTTTTCTACTGATGGCAAAAACAGCCCCAAAATACTTGAATCTCTTTAGTGCCTTAGATTCCTGACTTCATGGACACAAATGACATATCTCTGAAGTCTAGAGATGAAAGCCTTTTTCATTGTGGTTGTGTATGTGTGTGTGTATGAGAGAAAGAGACAGAGAAGAGAAAAAGATTAAGATCAATTTATATTGAACCATACTTTCTTCTAGGCTACATAAGTGGGTGCCAGGGTCTAGTTTGATCAAAACTGTTCACATAGTCAGTGGCCCAACCAAAATAATAAACTTGCTTCTCAACTCTCATTCATAGTCATGGCCCATCTTCCACTACCATGAGCCAACCTTGACCAAATCCCATAGTATCACACAGACTTGGATTCAGGGAATCTGTGGTCTAAGCTGTAGGGAAGAATTCTTCTTTCCCTTTGTACTGTCTTGAGCAGCAGTTGGCTTGTAAGAGTACCTTGATGTCAAAGAGGCAGAACCTATATAAATATAGAGGTAAGTAGGTAGACTGACTATTTTGTGTTCCTTAGGGTTAATGGTACGTTGCCTGAGACAGATCTCCACTGAAATTTGTATCCTTCTGGAGGAAAAGAATAACATGACTGGAACCACAGACGATTTAGTGACCGGTATAAAGCAGGATGGACTAAGAAAATAAATGTCCCCATAAGTACAATGCCGTAAACCCAGAATGCTTATAAGACCAGTTTATTTTACAAGGCTAGAAAAAGCAAAATAGGCATTTCAGCATTCCCCTAAAAGAGGAACTATCAAAAATTATAACCTCTCCTTCAGGAAGCATGCAGTTTGGTGTGACTTTGAAAGCTGAAGAAAATGATTATTCCTTTTGTGTATGTATATGTGTGTGTGTGTGTGTGTGTGTGTGTGTGTGTGTGTGTGTGTGAGATAAGATTTAGTCACATGCTAAATCTATTATCTTTTGATTTAAGCCATATAGATGGCATTTTATACCTAGCCAGCTTTGCTGTTGGTGACAGGCATAAACAACACAAACATTACAACTCCTTATGAGAATTTCAGCCACAAATACCATCAGACATTGTAATCTGACATTTTAATTAAGTGCTTGTAGTTTGAGTATCTCACATCTTATATGATGCCTTTAACTCTGAAGAGTTAAAGATCTTGTCTCCTGGCCCTGAAACCCAAGCAGATACAAGTGCTTAATTGGTCAAAAGTTAGAGACCCCACAGCAGTACTATGAGAGCAGTATAACAGTAAAGAGAGGTAAGTTTTGTATTTAAAATTCATACATAAGATTGAGGAATTTGTTACATTAGCAGGTGGATACACTAGGTGTTCTAATGATTTTCCAGGCATGCATGAGATGGAATTTTATCCCTCCTAAGAAGCTGTCTTGCAAATAGTCATTTGTTCGTGGTGCTTCACAATTCACATTGCATAAGTAAGTATAAAGACTGATTTCATTTATTTTTTGGCTCCCTTAAGAAAGTGGTGAATGTTTGGGGGAAATAATAAGCCAGGTTATCAATCTAGGGTACTTATTTACAAGAATGATTCAAAATAACAATGTTTAAAATTTTCCAAAGGCAAACAGATATTTATATTCCGAGGAAACAACATGGACAAACTATCTTTAATTTCTAAATTTAATTAGCATCAGTTCATTACCCTATACTGTAGCAAGCAACCAATCAACTCCTTTTTATGACTTTCGCCAAAAACATTCTGTTTTTATAAAGGTGACAATTTTCTCTGCTAAGTAATGTTTCATGCCTAAACCTAAGACATTCAAGTGAAATAAATGGCATTTTAGAATATACAAACAATTTAAAAGGGGAGTTAAAAAGGCTTCTGAAAATTAGCAGATATATGAATTACATGACATTTTAAACAAAAACACCTTTTTAATCAATTCCTTCTTTAATTGAATACACTTTTCCCCTTTTAAGCATCTAGATCAGTTAAATCCACTCCAGTATAGGAGCCCAGAAAACACTCTACTACATATTTAGGTGAAGGGATAATGGTCTCACCAGGTCTTACAGAGAGAAATGGAATCTTGAGATTGGATACTTAAGAACATTATCAAATTTGTTTTATACAATTTAATATATTGTACTGCCAATTTAAATAGTGTACTTGGGGGTAAAGGGTGTCTCATGTTAGTAATTTGAGACTTTAACCATTTTTTCTGCATGAAAAATGTCAAGTTCCCTTTAGAGAATATAATTTCTGACCACAAAAGAATATGACTGCAGAATCTGTTGGATATACAAATTAAAGGGTCTCATAGTATAAAGGAAGGCTTTGATTTCAGAATTGGAAAGTTTAGAAAGATCATGAGGTGTTTTTATTTTATTTTAATTATAGATCACTGTTCCCTTCTTTCCATTGCCTATGTCCCTCAGAAACAATGTAAGAACTAAGTAACTGGAGGGAAAGGCCATTCTTTATTACTAGCTGTGTAAAATTGTCAATTGCCCTAAATGAGTAGTCATTTACAAATTTCAGTTTAATTTGTGTTTTTGAAATAAAACATAGGTGCATAACTCATGCAACTAGAGTGTGCTATATACACTGTTTATCTTTTCCTTCTTTCACTTGCTGGCTGATAGCATATTAGTAGGATTTCCTAGTAATCATTTAGGTGACACTTTTTGGTATGGATTAAAAATTACATTTGGGTTTTGTTCCAACATTCACCTAATAGCATCTAATGAAGTAATTCCTTTCTACCCAGAATGTAGGTTAAACTATTCCGAGCCATGTTAATGCAGCAAAAACAGAAGCTATTTTCATGTACATAGCATACAGTTATGTAATTTCTATTTGCTAATATCCTACTATCAAAAAACCTTTTCTCTGAACCCTATTCCTCACATCACTCTTTTCGATAAAAAAAAAATAGAATCTTCATGTGGAAGAATGAAAACCACTTTTAGTAAGCTCTCATAAGGCACAAGGCACAGATTTCTCTCAGACAACATCTTCCTACAGCCTACCATCTCTATCACAGTAGGTTTTGAGTGATTTTTTGAGGCCTGTTATACTCATATGTATATTATATATATACATACACACAGATATACATGTATATACACATACACACAACATATATATATACATCCATATCCCCACATACAAAATATGTGAGCCCAAATATGTCAAATAGCATATAAATGCTGTGTCTACATCTTTAATCCTCTTTTTCATTCAGTATTTTAATGTTATAGTCTCAATTTTGCTGTACGATTTTAAAAGAAGCTTCATTCAACATAGTCTTACTTTTCTGGATCATGTATTATTAAAACTGGAAATAAAACATCAAAGTCAGCAAAATACCTAATGTTTTTTTATATGGCAGAGCCTAAAGGCTTCAGCTATAACTTAGTGAGACGACTCCAAAGATTTATATTATGGACTTTTACTAAGCTTTCTAGAGTGATTAACTGCAGCATGTGAAAAAGGATATTGAGACCTGGATGGATGCATCAAGGAGTATCAATGATTGTTACCTGCAGAGGTGTTACAAGAAATTTCATCTGCTGCAACGAAGACGAATTGATTTCTGCAAGAGAAGATAAAATTCACAATACTGCTTGCTCACTGGGAAATGTGCTATCTGCCAATTGACTTGATGTGTACAGATGGGGGGAAAGGGAGGTGCTTCACTTTAATGAATGTAGTGAGAGAAAGGGTTGGCGTAGTTCAGAACAGGAGAATTTAGATCATGGAGTAGGCATGCTGGGATCTTTTAAATGAATTAATGGTGACCTCTGAACACAGACTACTTACAAACTTTCAGTGGAATCTTAATGTTTTCTGCATAAATGTGTCATGCTAAAATACCTTTATGAGGGTAGGAAATTCCAAACTACATGTATGTGAGTGTATCTGCTAAAAGATGTGAAGATATGTAGAGAATCTACTTAATAAAAAACAAATCTACTGTAGCTAACTGAGAAATTAACAAAATTTAGGCTTTAAATTTTCTAATATGATTTCAAAATAGAAAAACACTTTCTGTTAATTCAGAAGAGAATTTGTTATGACATGTTCTCATATACTATAATTTCAGCATTAGAATAACCTTCCTACATAAAGTAGTATCATAAAGTAAATGAGAGAACTTGATTTGAAATAAACCTTCTCTTGCAAAATTCGTTTTTTCCACAATGCAGTATAAAAAAAAGAACAATGGAAAATGAACTTTGAAATTATTTCAATAAACAGAAAATAAGGTAAAACTCTCTTAAGAAATCACAATTTAGATAACATTTTCCCATGAAAAATTGAAATCTAATAATAGCATTTGAGGCTGAGTGTTTGCCATGAGTAAGCTTGGGGTGACAACCATAATTATGATTGGTCCAGTTAACAACACTAGTTAAATGCTATAGAAACAGCAAAAATGACATTTCTAGTTCTCATCTATGAGATGTTGATCAGCCAGCTTTGACCAAGGAAAATGTTTTAGATCTTGATCTGTTTTGCTATAGTTATGGAGACCTGGCATTAAAAGTTTTTATTAGCAGGTCGCTTAAAATCTCTTAAGAGGGTTTTACTAAAATACAATGTATGCTCTGAGATCTACACATGAATGTTTTTCAGAATCCCCAAAATGTAACATTCAATTCAAAATTCTATTAACTTTGAAACCAAGTAACTCTATGAAGAATTAAGCTTGCATGAGGACCTGTATTTTGGGGGCTTGCCTACCTTGGAAGTCAGAGCCAACTCATTTACTTCATTTCCCAAGACAATAAAGCAAGCTTAATTATATTCCTACTCTCTGTTTCTTCATGTATAAGACCTTTGTGACTTACAAATATTGGTAGCTCAGTAGGAAGGTTCAGATAATAGTAAAACTAAAATCAATAAAAACCAAGATGAGCTATTTGGGTTATATTTGCTTTGCCTTCTCTGACTTCCATAGTTGTAACAGAAGTTGTACAGTAGATTCTGAATGGACTGAGATCAATATATGCTATACTTCTTTCAAGTCCAGGTGACTGATTGTGCTGTCATGAGCTATGTAACACTGAACAGCCTAAACTGGATGTTTAACTTCAAAACCAAAATACCTCTCTCCTTTCAGCAGACCCTCCTGATTCAATCAAGGACACATCAGCTTCTTGCATCTACCAGAAATCCTAAAACCTTGTTCTCCTGGTACCAATTCTGACAGAAAACTCTTCCAAAGAGGCTACTTCCATCTTCCCCAACTCTCCATTTCCCTTAAGAGTCTACTTAGCTCATCAGACATTAATTAAATTTGGCAATTAAAAGTGCCAATAGCAGGTGTACCAGCAGATGCAAGTCTCATTTGTTGTATCTGTGAGTTAGTGGGGGAAAAATATGAAAAGAGCCACAAAGACATAGAACTATAAAGATGTGATATTAAAAAAAAAGCATAAGCATACTAAGGTTTACGTTTCTAAATGAGTATTGTGCTTCAAAGTTGTCATGCTGAAGGCTATAAACTGATTCCAAAGATGTTACCACCAATATATTTTTGTTCTTTTTTTTTAACTGCCCTCAGAGCTACTTTATGAGGCAAAGTTTTACTCACCTTGTTTGACAGACTTGATTTTATTTAAGAAAAATCAACTCCACCCCCCAAATAATGGCAATCTGCCACTTCAAAAGAATACGTTGAAGGTCTCAAAGGATTCCAAAAAATGTTCTGAGCAAGGGCAGTATCACTGTAATAAGTTTATACTCTCTCAAGTTTTTCATATACTCTCTCAGTGCTTTTCAAGGGACAATACTCATGGATTAATATGTTGAGGTATGTTTTTGTTTTCTCAAAAATCAATTATTATTTTATGCTCACAACTTATAGCTTAGAAAACTGCTCTTCTACAGAGCTCATTATGACATTTACCAGTGGAGCAAACTAATCATAAGCTAAAGATTCCCAACCCTTTTGAATTGGTTCTTTAAAGTCAAGTGGAGAAACAGTTTATGGTAATGGAACATGTATATAAAAAGTATGCGACTAGAGTTGTCCTAATAGGCAAAGCAGTTCAGGTAGAGTTATACTAAGCATCTGGTCATGATCACAGTGATAGTTACTGATGACCATTTATAGCATTTTTACCAATATCTCCATTCTTCCTTTGAAAAAAGGAGATAGAAGCCAATTCAGTTTTAGTATCTGAGAATGAGAGACTATCATTACACTCTCTGTTAGGCTATTTTCTCTAAGATACAAAAAACAGAGGTAGTGATACAGCTAGATGCCCAATCAAAATTATTCTGAAATATTCTTCTAATCCTTTGTAAATTTTGAAATGGACTGCTATAATATACAGCACCAAAAAAAGAATATTTTGAGTAATATTTATGCCCAGAGGGAGGAAAAAGGAAGCAAGTTAGAAAGGATTTCTTCCTTATTCTATCTCTGGCTTGTTCAGTATTGCCTTTTGCATTATTTTTTGCAGAGTCTATGATTAGAAATAAAATTTCAATAATGATTAACATATTTTTAGCAAGTTGACAGGAATCTAATAGCACTTTGGAAATACCCTTTATGAAATTAGCAGAACCATCAAATTAGCTTTGGACTAATGCCACAGTCCCTTGAGACTTTCAGGTTCAACTCTTGTGGCCACTTCTGCCTCCGGGGCACCTCAGCTTTAAAGGGGCTACTGAGGCATTTGCTACAACTATTTTAGATCATTATTCTCTTGGACTAACCTGGGAATATTTGATTCTAATGTAATGAGTTCTGGAAAAATGGTAGGCTCTAACCAGGGGATGAACTGTACAAACCTAAATTTTTGGAAGAAAAGCCTGTATTACCTTTCTCTATTACCTTTCCCTGCTTTCTCAAGGTAATTCTCGCTCAGCTCCTTTCATACATTCTCCCATTACTGGAAGCGTACCTTTTCCGCCATTTATTTTAAATAAAATTATTTCTTACTCTAAGAATCTTCCTTAATCTTATCCAAATTTACATCTCAAATCCTACCTTCTTCAGGAAAATTGCTTGAATCAGGAAGTTTTTTGCAGAGAGAGAAGAAATCCTAATTTCAAACAAAACTATCCGTGTTTCTATTTTAGTGCCTAAGTTACTTTAAAGAAAGATGAATTTGTATTGCCTCTTTAAAATGTAAATTCCTAGGAGAGAGAAGCCACATTTTTCTAGGTTTTGCACTGTAAACAGGCAATCAAGATCTTAACATATGGTTATTGGACAAGGAGTTATTATAATAGCAGACTGAACCTTCTAATTCCAAGCACTGAGATTTTGCCTGTTTTATGTTTTCTTCCCTCCTCCTACACTAAGTATTGCCTTTTATTTGAATAGACTGAAATTGAGGCTTTGAAATGAAAGAAATTTCATGCCGCAGAAGCATGTTGGGACAACCCAAAGCTTTCAGATTGAAGAGCCTCCTCTGACCACACAGTTTAAGGATTGATAATCAATTAAATTTTTTTCTTGCCCCAAATCAAACTCCAAAATGAAATTTTCAAAGGCTACACTTGAAGTATATTGGACACAGTCAGGTTCTTCTCTTGAATCATGATGGTTACAAATGTAAATAAAGTTGATTATGATGTGATGTGCAGTTTGGTTTTTCCTCCTATAAAACAACTGACTGCTCACTTAATTACTTCTGAAAATTTCCAATGATTTACTTTTTTAAATTGAATTAAATATTAACTCTTAGCCATTCTTACTAGTGTTGATATAGGAATCAATGTTCAATTTACATAGCTAAAATGCTGCATGGAAAAATGGTCAGTCAACTGGGATAAAATTCTTTAGTCTTTTTTTTTTGTTTGTTAAAATAGCTAAAAACTAGCTAGCATTTACATGTGCTTTCAGTTTTGCAAAGTGCTTTATAAATATTATCTCAATTTATCCTCACCACAACCCTGGGAAACAAGTGCTATAATTCTTCTCATTTCACAAATGAAGAAACTTCAGCAGGGAGAGGTTAAGTGATTTGTGCAGGGTCATACAGCTAATAAATATCTGAGTCTGCACTTGAACTCTGGTCTTCCTGATTCCAGGTTTAGTGCTTTATACACTACACCTCTTAGCTTACTGCTATTAGTGCTAGTAATTTTCTTTATTGGTTTAATTATTTTGTCCTGATCTTGTGGTTTCAGTCATGACATATATATACTATTCACTGGATATGTAATGTGTGAATTAGACATGCAAGTTACTGCCTGGATGTAGTGTTTTGTTTTTAATTTTTGGGTAGTTGGGGTTAAGTGACTTGCCCAGAGTCACACAGCTAGTAAGTGTCAAATGCAAACATCTGAGGCCGCATTTGAACTCAGGTCTTCCTGACTTCAGGGTCGGTGTTCTATTCACTGTGCCACCTAGCTGCCCCTGGATCCAGTGTTACAGAGAACTGAACTTGTATATAAAAGAAACATACTTTTAAAACTTAATTTTGTATGTTTAAAAATCCAGGCAAATACCTGGGTCTACATTTTAATTACTTAATACTAGGGCTAATGTAACATATTAATTTGGATAAAATATCTGGAAAGGGCAATGAAGTTTCCAGGTATAAATGAAGGCAAATTGATTAAAAATGTTTA